TTACCTCCAATCACCTCCAATCATCTCCAGTCACACCTCCAATCACCTCCAATCACCTCCAATCACTTCCAGTCACTTCCAATCACTTCCAGTCACGTCCAGTCAATTCCCATTACTTCCAGTCACTCCAGTCACTTCCAGTCACTCCAGTCACTTCCAGTCACTTCCAGTCACTTCCAGTCACTTCCAGTCACTTTCCAGTCGCCTCCAGTCACCTCCAGTCCCACCCCCAGTCACCTCCAGTCATATGTAATCGCACACAATCATTTCCTTATCTACAGTCTCTACAGTATTTTACAGTCGTACCAATATATTACAATCAACTACAGTCATTCCTATTTCTAGTCTTTGTACACGATTTTGGCGAATTGGGTACCCCTCGTATCAAACGATTGTAAGCCATTTGTTTCTGTCGTCGTTTTTGTACGTAGGCGATATTGTAGTTTTATTTGTCACGGATACTTTAGTCGTGCGTCGAACCTTTATCCTGTCAATGATTCCTTGCGGTTCTGCGTCGCCGTTTCCATTTCGTCCTCCGGGCGGAGGCCTCACGAGCAGCCCTCACTTCGTCTTCTTCTTCTGCGCCGTCCTGCCATGGCCAAGTCTCCAACGGACTCCCTTACATATTTACTTGTGATCGAGCTGCCTTTCTGTTGCATGGTTATTACTCTTGGCCCATCCATTCATTGATTGATATCCTTTTCTCATTCATGTGCCGCATCTCTTATTCACGCCGGTCTTGTCATTTCGTGGAATATAGGAACACACACACACACAAGTTTAAGGTGCCGCGCCACGTCGAGAACATGTCTTTACGACGGATCGATTCCCCAGTTTCGGGGAAAAGGCAACGACTCATCGCTGGCGCTGTCCGTCATGGCATGCAAGGACCCGGCTGGCGCGCCGTTTGAAAGCCCCCGCGCGCGGCTGGGCCAGCCAGAGCCAGAGCGCGGCGTCGCGGCGGGCGGCGGAGTTGGCGGGGCCCTCGGGCGAGGGGTCTAGGCGCGGCCAGCGCGGCGTCGGGACGGCGGCGGCAGACCGGTGGCGCCGCCTGACACCCGACGCCCGAACCCTTTGCGGGATGCCCGCTGGATGCCGCGGATGGGCTCGCCACGGCCAGGCGCGGACTGCGCGGGCCCGCGGGGGTGGGCCGGGCGTGCTGGGCGGCTCGGAGGGCAGGGCAGCAGCAGACGACAGTGTGAGGACAGGAGCACCGGGGCCGAGGCACGGGGGTCATAGCGCAGCGGCGCGCGGCTCTCGCACCAGGACTCAGCCAGCGCGGCACGGCGCGGCTCGCCCAGAGAGCGGTACGGGACGCGACTCATCAGCTGTCGGTCGGGTGCCGCACCTGGCCCGGGCCGTCTGTGCGGTGGAGTGAGTGCGAGTGTGCGTGTGCGGAGTGCAGCCAGAGGCCTGAGCGCGCGGCTCTAGAGCGGCTCTGTCGGAGTGCAGCCCTGATATTGACCCAGTTAGCGCGCGGCCCGCTGGCGCGGCCTACATGGCCCTGCCCGGGCCTGGCCTGCCCGGGCCGTGCGCGGCAGCGATAGGATAGGCAGTCGGTCGGGGATGCGCTCAAAGTTTTAGCAGTGGCTCTTGTTGACGGAAAGGTGCGGGCTGCGGAGAGATACCGGCGGTGGAGGGAGGCGCAGGGGCGGCGCGGCGCCACGGTGCACGGCGGGGCTGGCGCGGGGCGCGGGCGCGGGCTGGGTGCGCGGGGCGGGCGCGGGGCGCCCCCTCCCCCACTCCGTACAAAAGTATTGATTGTGTGTGAGTGTGCCCACTCTGCTGCTGCGGCCTGGCCGTGGGCCTGGCCTAGGCGAGCGGGGTCGAGCCGAGCGGGGGGCGGGACCGAAGCCAGCCGAGGCGCGGGGCCGAGCCGAGCCGTGGCGCGGCCTGCGCGGCCCTGCCCAGCTTGACCAGGTGCTTCTCGTGCCTGCTCTGCGCCTGGCCTGGTCGTGCATCCTGGATGCTGGCTGGGCTGGTGCACAGCGGGCCGAGGCTGGGCGCCCTGCCCCCCGTAGCGCTCCGCCCCTCCTGGCGCTGCCCACCCTGCCTACCTGTCGGTACTCCCCCGTGCCAGCCCCTGGCGGCCCATGCCCTGCCCCCCGTGCCCCTGCATCACGCCCTGCCCCTGTGGTCATCCGGGAGACCTTCTCGCCTTCGGTTTTCGGTCGATGGCGAGGCGTGGCGACGCGCGGCACGGAATGGTGTCCGTGACAAGCCCGGGGGGTCGAGTTTGTGAGGCGCTAGGATCAGGTTAGGATAGTCGTTGGGCGAGGGGGACGTATTCTCGTAGAGTCCGTCACGGAGAGGGCGGTATCGGAGGCATCGCGCGGACGTGACGCGCCCCGCGTCGCCTCCAAATTGGGTCAGGAAGTCGTCAGACGGCAGTTCGGGAGCGCGCTGGACACGAGGCTGTCGTCCGCCGGGCTGCTCGTCGAGGCCAGCGCCGAGACCCCCAGGGCAGCGCGCGCTGGTCCAGTCTGGACTCTGGACCGCGCGCGGCAGAGTGTCGCGATTGCGAGCCCATTGAGTGTGTCCACGCCGCGCCGCGCTCCGCCCCAGCCTAACAGCGCCGACGGGGAGTTTTGGCCTCTTATGCACTCCGCATCTGCACTCCGCTCCGCACCCCAGAGCCGCCCCCTGCATATGTGTGTGTGTGTATGTGTGTAGACGTGGCGCTGCGACATGGGGAGGTGATCCCCCCTCTGGCTCCGTTCGCGTCCCACGCACCGCTATGACTCGGTCAACATGGCGGCCCCGCTGTGCGTCATGGAGGCCATGGAGGATGACGACGCGGACGGCGTGGAGCTGGACGACCTGCAGTTCCGCCACCACCATCACCACCATCACCACCACCATCACCACCACCACGGCGTAGACCGCGCGGCCGGCGGGAGCAGTGGTGGCAGCCAGGACGTGCTCGACGAGGTCGATGACGACGACGATGACGACGAGGAGGAGGACGACGAGGACGAAGTGCGCCACGTCGGCTACCGGCGCAAGCGGAGGCGCCGGCGCCGGCGGAAGTCCGTCCCCCTGTGCCCCGCCGCCTCCGCCGCCCTGGACCAGTCGCCGCACCCGCACCACCGCCACGGCCTGCACGGCCTGCACGGCCACCCGCCGCGGCGGCCGCACGGCCTGCGGGAGTCGCTGCTCACCGTCCTGGGCAAGCTGGTGGTGTGGCGGCACGGCGGGGCCACGCAGTACCGACAGACGCTGGGCCACGCGCCCGGCCACGGGGGCCCACCCGAGTACCTCCGCGGCTTCATCACCATCGGTGAGTGGACGGGGTGATCCCCGCCCCGCCCCACCCCGCCCGCCCCGCCACGCCTCGCGCCCGCCCCAGACGCGCGGGGGTGCGGCCGTGGATATTCATGACACTTTGCCGTAGACCGAGCATTGGGACTCGGGGTTGTGATTTCCCCCAGGCCTGAGGGTGGTGGATCTCGAGAGTTGTTCACTTTTCGTAAAATTGATTTGGCCTTTGTATTTACTGAAGTTTGTTTGAACTGCTGCATGAGTATGCCCGACATATTTGTCAAAGAACACATATTATCATCCGTATCGAAAGCATGGCCATTATTGTACCCCTTAGATGCAACAGAAACAGCTACTCTTGAGCCTCCTCCGTGAAGCTGCCTGGATTGGTGTACAGAACAAAGCGCGTGAAGGTCCGGCGTCCTAGTGGTTTGCGCAGGTCTGCGGCGCAGTCCGACATGCCCGTTCCGTCCACGACCCGCCCGCACTCTTGACCGTTCGATGTCGATGGTAGTACATTTGCTGTAGATTGGATTGAATTGGTTCGCCTCGCCCGCTCTCGCTTGGTGGTGCTCGGCGCCGCCCTCCGCCTCCGCCGCACTCCTCTACCCCCGATCCTTCCCTTCCGTCTGACCCAGCCAACCCCACGAGTGACCCGCCCCAGCCGACTCATTCAGTAGAGCGTTCCATCGTGCGCGCTCTCTCCAGTCTTGCGGCGGTGCCCCACGGGTGTGACAAGGACGGAGACACGAGGCGATATTCTGAATTAGTCGGCAGACCCACCCGTACCCGTACGTACAAAGTACAGAACATTATGTACTTACATTCTGTACTTTGTGCCCGCACGCACCGGGCAGCTTATTGGCCGTCAGGTGACATTGCCGGAGTGTTGGGCTGAGGAGAGACAGTGGGATTGGTTGTGGAGAGGAGGAGGAGGAGGAGGAGGAGGCAGTCGCACATGAGGGGCTTCATCAGGCCCCCATTTCGCGCAGGGCGCTTTAATTTCGTATGGGCTCTCGAAGCAACTGTTGCTGTTACTTTGCATGCTTATTTCTGGTAGACTAGGTGCCATGACTCTATGTTAGTGCTATGCCTGCATTTTCTTTATTTCGTTTGTTTAAATTTATATTTTACTATTATTATTTTTTTTGTGTGTGTTTATTCAACTCTGTGCTCAGGGTAGAGCCTCTAGCTCTCCATTTACTGTTAACCGATGATATTTTGCCATTTTTCGTAATTGTAACGTAGAGGTGGTGATAGCGTATACAAGACAAGAGTCCTTTAAAACTAAATTTTTGTTTTCTTCTTGCAGAAACGGAGCGGAGGATCAGAGCCAACGATGGGGAGTATAATACACAGTTCAACTATGCTGTAAGTTTTGATATTCAACTTAATTTTTGCTTTGTGTTTCCTCTTGCTACAGTGTAATAAGATACATTTTATTTGTCTGCGTTTCAATTTCTTTTCCAGAACAACTACATTAAGACCTCTAAGTACACCGTTCTGACATTCCTTCCCCTCAACCTTTTTGAGCAGTTCCAAAGGCTTGCAAATTTCTATTTTCTTTGCTTGTTAGTCTTACAAATGATTCCTGTCATATCCTCCCTAACTCCTATCACAACTGGTATACCACTCATTGGTGTACTTGCTCTTACTGCCATTAAAGATGCATATGATGATTATGTAAGTTTTCTCATGGTGAAATAGCTGTTTTTTTTACCCTCTCACAGTTAAATGAATAACACGCTTTCATATTGTTTCTTCAGCAAAGACATTCTAGTGACCGTCAAGTCAATCAACGCAGATCAAAAGTTGTCCGTAGTGGAAAGTTGGTTGAGGAACGTTGGGCACAAGTTCAAGTTGGTGACGTCATCCGAATGGAGAATGATCAATTTGTCGCTGCTGATGTTCTTCTTCTCTCTACGAGTGAACCAAATGGCTTATGCTACATTGAGACTGCGGAACTTGATGGGTTAGTTTTACAAATTTTTGTATTAGAGTATTCCTTTTTTTAATATTAAAATTTTCCCAAAGACAGTTTAGTATTTTTAAATCCAGTATGGTATAATCCAAGTATGTTATTTCTTCTTGTATCTTACAGAGAGACTAATTTGAAGTGCCGTCAGTGCCTTGTTGAAACTGCAGAGATGGGTCAGAATGATGGTTTAATAGGAGCCTTTAATGGCGAAATTGTTTGTGAAACTCCAAACAATCTTCTAAATAAATTTGAAGGTACCTTACTCTGGAAAGGAAAAAGGTATGATTTACATCTATCCAAACATAAATGTTTTCAAAATTAAACATGTTATCCTTGATACATTTTTTATTGTGTTAATATTTTTAGGTACCCTTTGGACAATGACAAAGTGGTTCTAAGAGGTTGTGTGCTACGTAACACCCAGTGGTGCTATGGTGTTGTAATCTTTGCTGGCAAAGATACAAAACTTATGCAAAATTCTGGGAAGACCAAGTTTAAGCGCACAAGCATTGATAGATTACTAAACTTCATCATTATAGGAGTAAGTGTTTTACCTTATAACATCTACAATTTTCACAAATTGGTGCATCTTTTTAATGTTATAATTGGTTATTATTTTGTCTACAGATAGTTTTCTTTCTGCTGTCTGTGTGCTTGTTCTGTATGATTGCGTGTGGAATCTGGGAAACTATTACTGGACAGTTCTTCCAGAAGTACCTTCCATGGGACACACTAGTCCCTAGTGAAAAAATTAGTGGGGCAACAGTTATTGCTCTTCTTGTCTTTTTTTCATATGCAATTGTCCTCAATACAGTTGTCCCAATTTCTCTGTATGTCAGGTAAAGTATTCATTTAAAAAGAATTTGTGTATGTACTTGGTTTGCAAAATGTGGATTGTATTGTACCTTTGTGTGTTTATATATCTGTTCATCCAGTGTTGAAGTCATAAGATTTGTGCAAAGTTTTCTGATAAACTGGGATGAGAAAATGTTTGATGAGAACTCTCAAACTGGTGCAAGAGCACGGACAACAACTCTAAATGAAGAGCTGGGTCAGATAGAATACATCTTTTCTGATAAAACAGGAACATTGACTCAGGTACTGCGCCATACTCTTTTTTTTCATAAAAATCTACTTTTTAAAGTTATACATAATTCAACAATATGCATTTGTTTTCTTCCATAGAATATCATGACATTTAATAAGTGCTCTATAGGTGGTATATGTTATGGGGATGTTATTGATGAAAAGACTGGTGAAGTACTGGAGGTTTGTGAAGTTCTTTGTTTTTGTATTTTTAGTGAAAAATTTCTTTACCTAGATAGTTCAACAATATTTCATTCTTTTATTCCTCCACCTCTGCAGAGTTCAGCTCCCCTTGATTTTTCATCAAACCCAGACTATGAACCAGAATTCAAGTTTTTTGATGGCTCTCTTGTAGAAGCTGTAAGAAATAACGACCAAGATGTTCATGCATTCTTTAATTTACTAGCATTGTGTCATACTGTGATGGCTGAAGATCGTAGTGGTAAGTAATAACCATAAAATCTCACTTTATACTGTACCACATTAGTTTGCGAATTTTGATCCAATAAATTGATTTACAGGTAATCTCGAATATCAGGCACAATCACCAGATGAAGCAGCGCTGGTTTCAGCTGCTCGAAATTTCGGATTTGTATTTAAAGAGCGGGCCCCCAACAGCATAACTGTTGAGGTTTGTGCAATCTGCTTGTACTCTACTGATATGTTTAAGAATTTTATATGCACCAATTACTATATTTCTTATTTTGATCTTTAATTTCTGATGCAGGTCATGGGAAACAGGGAAGTATATGAACTGTTATGCATCCTTGATTTTAATAATGTGAGGAAGCGCATGTCTGTGATTCTAAGGAAAGATGGCCGTTTAAGATTGTACTGCAAAGGTGCTGATAATGTGATCTATGAGAGACTGCAGCCTGGCCTGATGGAAATTAGGAATAAAACTCAAGAGCACTTAAATGTAAGCAATCAGTCAAGTAACACTCTTTTAAATGCAAGTATCAAAGCAACTTATAAAATGTTAAAATTTAATTTTTTAAAATCTTTTTTAGAAATTTGCTGGGGAAGGGTTACGCACATTATGTTTAGCTATCAGAGATTTGGATGAAGTGTTCTTTGCTAATTGGAAACAGCGTCATCAAGAAGCAGCCCTCTCAATGGAAAATAGAGATGAAAAGCTTGATTCCATCTATGAGGAAATTGAAAGAGACATGACACTAGTTGGTAAGGCTATCAGGCTATCTGCTTGACTACAAACATTTTAATTTTATCTATTCATTTTGCTGAAGTCCTTGTGTTCTTATTTGTCATAGGTGTAACTGCCATTGAAGATAAACTACAAGATGGCGTCCCCCAAACAATATCAAATCTTGGAATGGCTGGTATAAAAATTTGGGTGCTAACTGGAGATAAACAAGGTTTGTCACTGATCTCCTGTAAAATAATTTGTGAGTGATTCAATGACTCAACTTGACCATCCTTTTGTTTCTTTCAGAAACCGCTATTAATATTGGATATTCATGTCAGCTTCTGGCGGATGACATGGCTGACATTTTTGTTGTTGATGGTCATTCATATGATGATGTGGAAGAACAGTTAACTAACTTCAAAGATGCTCTTCGTACTCAAATGGGAAATTCGCACAGCAATAGTTCCACTAGCCCACAGTGTAATAATCACAGGACAGTGGGTGAAATGACTGATTCTTATAACCCTCCGACTGAAGTTGCCTATAGGTCACAACCAGCAAATGACCATGCCAGAAATAATGTCACGGGCACTTCCAACACTGCTGTCAGCATAGTGACTTTCAGGTGGGACCGAAACAGGTAGAGTGGGCCAGCGAAGTGACAGAGGCAGAAGGAGTTTCCTGATTAACTTCTATGGTAGTACGCCACCACCCTCAGCTCTGCTCGGCTCGGCTCGGCTCGGCTCGAGTAGATTTGCTTTAGGTGACAGTATAGCTTGAGTGGTGCTCTGAATGCTAAAATACATATCTTTCTTAATGTGTTAAAATATGGGACTGATATCTGAGAACTCAGGAAACAAGCAAACATCTGCTGCTTTTCTCTTTTTAATTAATGTAGTCCAAGCTGTATTGCTGTGCAAAAATTTTGACAAACAGAAATTAATTATCAAATTCTAGTGTATTTCTCTTTGGCTTAAAGCTTAAAATTAAGCACACCTCCGTACATTCTTGCAAAAAATCTTAAATGAAACCTGATGTGAGTTATGCATGTCTCCTAATTGAGCATGTTATTTTCCTTCTCTAGTAAAATTCCCCAAAAAATAAAGATGTGTTAAAACTTTACAAATTTCCTCTTTGAAAAGATGGCCATATGCTTCAAATGGCTCAGGAAAACATGTTTTCTGAGGTTCTCTTCTGGGATGTTTTTATTACCTAACCTAATGTCACACTAATTCTAAAGCTGAGTAATTGGAAATAATTATGTACATCTCTTCTCTGAGTAGTCAAGAATGGCTCACCATATGAAATATGGGGAAAAGCAACCAGATTATAAGAAAAGCTTGCTTTTGCCATTGAGATTTGTGTGTTTTAGAATATGTTGCTGCTAGTTGTTTTTAACCAAGGTGAAGGATTGCTGAAAAGGATAGTAGTAATCAAATAGTAAAGGGTGCAGGTTAAATGGAGCTCAATTTGACTAATCCTATGAAAAAGTGGGCCTTTTTGTGATATTTGTGCTGGCTGATTGCTTCTCTGTGGCATGCTCAATGCTCACTTTTGAGACCATGCTGAACATAGTTGTTTCATGATATTGGGTTATCACTAAATGAAAGAGTCTTAGTGACTTAAATAGCGCAATACAATGTTCCAGTACACCTTTTGATGCATTTTGTTTTCATTAAAATGAAAGAAGAAGAAAAGTGATCCCATAGAGCAGTGGCATATTTTTCTTTTTTTTCCCCCTTGAAATGATTGGTTTTTGAAGTACATGGCATTTTCTATGGCACATAATCTCGTGGCCCATCAAACTGAATTTCTTATGAACTCGTGCTCCAACAGTCATTTTCAACTTGGCACTATTTTGAAAAGTGGATGGCGGAATAATATTGGAATCTCTCTCAGCTTCATTGCACCACTTTCTTAGTTGTGAAAGAGGGTTCACATAAATTAGTCACCTACCAAATTTTGCACATGGTGGTGTGAAAGGAAATTGTAATGTTTGTAATGTGGTTTGGGTTGTTTCTGGTAGTGTGAGCGAATGTTTGAGCCTAATTGGAGAACATTCCGGCCACCTTCAGGTAAAAATTACAATGGCATACATTTCAAAGCACTTTTATTTTACCCATGTTTTTGTTATTGAAAATCGGTTTTGGATAATCAGGTAGTATACAATTTTTGTGCTATTAGCAAACACTCAACCACAGCAAACACATTGAATTTTCATGTGGGCTTGTGTTGGGAGTAAGATGGCTAATGCATCTCCTTCTCTCTCTGTCCCTTCTCTCCCTCTGTCTGCTTTTGTGTTGTATGGCTAGAGCTAGAAATATTAGTCAATTGTAGTTTTACTGATAATTTGTAGGAATCAGTGTGCCTATACTCTCACATGCCCTTTTTTGCCCTTATCAGTATACCATCTTAGTGCATTTACATTTTGGGACACACAAATAGTTCTCTTTTGCTCACAATATAATCTATTAAATAGTACCTTGCCCCTGCAATATGGAGAACCTCAGTGGAAGTTTTCCTTACTGCTGAAGAAAAGTAGATTATCACTGTTGTATGTCACTAAATTTTAGTTTTTGAGGTAATTCAATATTAAAAGTTTTTTCCACTACCACATTTATCTGTTAAAGCACATTGCACTTGAACACCAGTCTCCCTCCATCCTTGATCTGTGCTTAACGTCACCCTAGCACTCATATTTTGGTGAATGGAAAGCACACTTGTTTTGTTTTAAATGATTAATACATCCTTAGGGAATGAGCACTTGAACTGAGTTACTTTGTGGATTCAAGCAGTCACAAATTGGGTGAAAAAAAGAGGCCTTGGTTTGGGCTTTACCTCTGATTGCTATTATGCACTGCTATCTACTGCTTGTGATGCAATGCTGATGCATTATTTGTAAACTTCATAATGAAATCTAATAAACAAAATGGAGATGTCTACAGTAGCGCAATTTGCTATTTGACAGCTAATTTTGTTTATGCCTACTGTGTTTGTGTTTCTTACAATCTGCATTTTGTAATTTTTTGAAATTGTGTGATATTTTAAAAATATTTAAAAGAGTCAAGTTTGACTGATTATCAGTTTGAAATTCCAAGCAGTAGTCTGTGTTTTTTCTGTAGTGATCTAAGTCTGTTAGATATTAGCTAGATTTTGTGTATAAGTCAATTAATTTTTATTATGGCTTAACAACAATTTTTATATGGTGCAGTGAATCAGAGTATCAACGGGATGTAAGTCCAGAGGAACCAGAGATACCAGCAGGATATGCAATCATCGTCAATGGGCACTCACTTGTGCATGCCTTACATCCACAGTTAGAAAAACTTTTCCTAGATGTTTGTACCCAGTGTGAGTACCTAAAAATATTTCAGTTAAACTTCATCTATGGTCAGAATAAATCTTAAATCTAAATTTGTTCCTCAAATGTTTCTGACCAAACAGGCAGATCAGTAATTTGCTGTCGAGTCACACCTCTTCAAAAAGCAATGGTTGTAGAAATGCTCAAAAAAAGCCGCAAAGCAGTCACATTGGCTATCGGGGACGGAGCTAATGATGTCTCAATGATAAAAGGTAAAGTAAATTTGGCTAAGGTACTGGTACAATAATTATCTATAATTATTGCATCAAGAAGCAGTACTGTACCTCAGTGTTTACTAAAACTACCGGTACCTGGTTTTGTACTTAATTTTTGTTTTATTTACAGCGGCTCATATTGGCGTTGGCATAAGTGGACAGGAAGGAATGCAAGCAGTTCTAGCTTCAGACTATAGCATACCTCAATTTAGGTTTCTTGAAAGGTTGCTGCTTGTACATGGCCGTTGGTCGTATTACCGCATGTGCAAATTTCTAAGATACTTTTTCTATAAAAATTTTGCATTTACTTTATGCCACTTTTGGTTTGCATTCTTCTGTGGATTTAGTGCCCAGGTACATAGACAGCATGCCATTTTATTGAAAATTATTATTTATTGTACTGTTAAGTTTTTATTACTCTTTCTTTTTTTACAGACGGTTTTTGACCCAATGTTTATTTCTGTGTACAATCTATTTTACACATCACTTCCAGTACTTGCCTTAGGAATGTTTGATCAAGATGTGAACGATCGCAATTCTCTGGCATATCCCCAATTGTACACACCAGGTCATAGGAACTTACTTTTCAACAAGAAAGAATTTATGTTGAGCGCAATCCATGGCTTTTTCACTTCTTGTGTATTGTTTCTTGTTCCATATGGTGAGTATACTGTGATTATTAACATCTTACAGATTAGGGTTGAGGTGGGGTATATATTACCTGGGCTGCTTGTCCACCTTGCATTCTAATTAACACATTTCCTTCTTTCTTTAAATTTTTCAGGAACCTACAAAGATGCTGTTGATTTTAATGGCCTAGTACTGTCTGACCACATGCTTTTTGGGAGTGTTGTTGCAACCATTCTTGTAATTGTAGTGACTGCCCAGGTTTGTTAAACTTTTGTATTTTTTTATTGTGTGAATTAACTTTTAAAAAAATCATTGAATCAGTAGCTAACTTTGCCATTTTCTCTTCCTGCAGATTGCTTTAGATACATCATATTGGACAGTGTTCAATCACATCATGGTGTGGGGCTCATTATTGTGGTACTTCATTTTGCAATATTTTTATAATTACGTTATTGGCGGTAGCTATGTTGGTTCCCTTAGCAAGGTAAGAGGACTGTCAAATGAAAGATAAAATATATGACTTCCAATGAAGATACTAATTTTTTTCCCTTGAATTTCAGGCAATGAATGATGGAAACTTCTGGCTTACGACTGTGTTAACAGTTACAATCCTTATGATTCCTGTGCTTGCATGGAGGTTCTACTTTGTTGATGTTTTCCCAACATTGTCAGATAGGGTCCGTCTGAAGCAAAGACTTGCACAGTTGCGATCTAGACAATCTCAGGATGTTTTACGCACACCATCTGCAAGGAGAACTAGAAGGTCAATTCGTTCTGGTTATGCATTTGCTCATCAAGAAGGTTTTGGAAGATTAATTACTTCTGGCAAAATTATGAGGAAGCTACCACGTCCGAATGGAGACTTTTTATTCCCAATGGCATTTGCCTCTCCAAGTCATGCAGCTAATGCATCAACAAGGCAAGCCCATTGCAGTAGTAGCAACACCTCTTCTCCCCAAGACAATGGGGCTGCAATGACAGATTCTGGCATCAATTTGTGATGGTGGTGCAAAAGCACGGGGGGCCAGACCGTGCATTTCAGTGTCGCCACTTTCATCTTGTGATATTTTTGTGCTTTGCCACAATATTAGGCAACATCTTTACTGATTGTTGTCTTATATTATATAAAATATTTGACTTCTTTTTATATTTTGATGAGTGAGGACTATATATGTATGTATACATACAGTTGATCATTAAGATGGCACACCCAGTAAGCATAGGCAGTCAAATGGGTGTTGTGCATCTGAATGTGTTGTGATTTTGCTTATATTTGTATGTCACCAATACAATGTTACCATGTAAATTGAACAAAGTGCAAAACTTAATTGTTTTTAAGGAAATGATTATATACTTTTGTACTAGTGTGACAATGACAAGAATATCCCTCTTCTCTAGGTATCAAAGTCACTTCTTCACCTTTCATTGCGATGCCTAACTTCTGCATTTGTATATATACGAATTGTATGGTTCTGTATGATATGCTTTAAAAGTTTCTTACCAAAGTTGAGTTAATTGCTTTAAGGGGGCTTGAGTATAAAGATTTATTTTTGTTGCAGTCCAGAAAGTATAGTCTATGAGAATCTGTATTTTAAAAGGAAAGATGTCTATTTTGTACATAGATATAAATGTTGGAGCGTCTACAAGATGGCATTTAAACTTGTGACTTAATGTTTTAGATTTATTAAGGCACAAGGGAGTACAATATTGATTTTATCTCTATGTAGCTTTTAAGAAAACAATTTTAGTTTCTTGCCAGTCATTTGAAATACATACATTCTTTCAGTTTTATTCACATTATTAGAATCCCTCAAGTCTCCTTAAATTTTGGAAATTGTGAACATCTTTCAAAAGATGTAGGCTGATAAATTA